CGATCATGGGCCGCTCCGCAGCCCCTCGCACGCGCGGCGGCCGCGCCGCCGCGGCCTCGGGCCCCGCGATGCCCGCGGGCGCGGCGACCCTTCGACCCGGCGCACGAGAGGCGGCCCGAGGGGAGGAGCGCAGGCCCGAGAGCTCCCGGCGCTCGGCGCGGCCTCCCCCCGAATGGGGCCTCGAGGCGCGGCCTCGAGGCGCGGCCCGAGGACGCACGGCCGTGGCAGGCGAGCTGGCCGATGGTTGTGGGTGCCATGGCAATGGGCCCTCGAACAGTTTTTTTTCTCCACGGGACATACTGCAAACTACATTACATTATGTACTCACGCCGCGCCGCGAGCACAGCACCACTCGCAGGTAAGAGGAACTCGCAGGAGCAAGGTGCACGCGGGGAGCGCAGCGGAGGAGGGAGGAAGGGGAAGACAGTCCTATCATTGAATTTTAAAAAGTGCTTGAATGGTGTGAAACATGTTCTACACTTGTTTCAAGCATGTCTTTACATGTTTAAGGCATGCTTGCAACATGCCTGCATCCCCAGGCCGAAAGTTTCTTCCTCTGGGGCTAAAAATATGAGAACATCAACGGATCCAATTGAATCCCTTTTCGGGTGTGGGAGAGTTTCGTGGATCCTATTTCTGTGTTGCGCGGATCCACTTCCCTGTATGTGTGAAAAAACGATGGATCCATTTATTTCCCGGGAATAAATGTATAATAATAACTATTATCTGGGGCCCAGGGGAAATTGGATCCGCGGAGCACCGCAAGTGAAGCATCATGCTACATCCCCAGTATCCACGGAGCCGTGGATCTGCAGATGAGAGAAAAAGGCAAGAGGATGACATGCGGGGCTCAAGAGGAAAACCTTTCGGCCTGCGGAAGTATGGCTGTGGATGCCATCACAGTGGACCCCCCAAATCATCCCATCAATGCATTAAAGTGGTGCTGAAATTGTGCAAAGCAAGATCTTCACATGGTTCAAACATGATTTTACATGTTGAAAAAAAAAACAACATGCTGGAAAAATGTTTTTAGACGTCTGGAAATGATTTGGCAAACACGCCTCCTCTCCATTGAGCGTCCTCCACAAGCCTATGGCAGGCCCGTGCCGTGCCGACTTCGGCGCTGGTTTCTTGTTGGGCCCGTTTTCCACCGCCACCACCACCACAAGTTGGAGGAGGAGCGTGTCCTCCTCCTCCTCCTCCACCTCCTCCTCCTCCTCCTCCTCCCTCTCCTCTTTGTCCTCCTCCTCCTCCTCCTTCCCCCCCCTCCAACTTCTCATGGTGGTGGAAAACAGACCCATCATGTCTGGCACCGCGGGGATCGTTCAACCTTGAACGATCCGCGGTTGCCGAAACGTCCGATCGTCCATTCTCGGCCAACTCTGGGTTGCCGAGCGGCGGTCAACGTGGAGCGCCGGCGGCGGGGCCGTGGCCGGTCGACACGGCGCGCACCTGCCGTAGGCGCGCTGCTTGAAAACGTGGCGCGCGCTCCGACCGCATGGAGGATGGGACGTATAGGGAGCATGGTAGTCTGCCACTAACAGAGAGAGTCGGGTCGGGCGAAAGGGGGGGATAGCAAAAGGGGGGGTTGAACATCAGCTCACGTAGCTGATTTTCCCGGCGCCTCCCGGCGCCAGAGGCGGCTATGTATCGAGGAATGGGCCCCTCGTTGAGGCCGAAATCAGCTTCATGCTGCAAATTTCGTAACCCCCCCTTTCCCAATCCCCCCCTTTCGCCCGACCCGAGTGAGAGAGAGAGAGAGAGAGCGAGAACGCAGGGCAATCAAGCCCTGCCTGCAACACCGCAGATCTGCCGCCCATCATCTGCGAGCGATCCCGCCTCATAACTTATGCACCTCGGTCCGGATGTCTTCGACTAGGGCCCCGGCGGCTTGCGCGCACTCCTCCAAGAGCAAGCGTCACCATGCCGGCCACGGAGGCAATCAGCGGTCCGAGGCTGCCTGGGACGACGTCAGCATGCGAGGGGGGCAAAGAGGTGCACTCCGAGGTGTACAGCTAGCCCACCCCCTTGGGCCCCACTGCCCCGCCCCAAGGCATCTTCGTGCAGACGCTTCCGTGGGCAAGAGACGCTGGGCAAGAGATGCTGGACAAGAGTCGCAAGTCTTGCGTCCAATGACCGGGCGCGATCAAGCAAACATTGGTCAGGCGGTCAGGCCGATGGGGCCCCAGCTGGGGCGTAGAGATAGTACCAGGGACAAGGAAAAGGTACTCGGACTCGGATTATCAGGCAGGCCTGGGACGTGGACACACGACGGACCACAGGCCAAAACTTCCTTCTGCAGCGGCACAAACGCAAACCACATTCCCATGTTCAGTCGCATGCGCCGCCGGCACCGGTGCTGACTCCAGCGCACGACTATGGCCTCGCGTGGCAACGCCGCACCTTCCGCTGCGGCACCTCACGCAGCTCACCCCCCGGCGAAGCGATGCGGGCTCGACGCGTCTGGGCCGTGAGAACAACAGGGTCCTGAGGGGCACGGGTCCTGAACCTTTTGTGGACTTTGGACGCCCGACGTGGGTGCGGAGAGCATGAGCGTACTGCCCAACAGCAGATGTGGTCCAGAACCGAGAGCGGCCGCTGTTGGGCAGGCAGCCTTGCGTTTTCAGTGAGCACCGTCCGCGGCGGCGCGGACAGCGAGCCTGGTTTAAAATGAGCAGGAACTGCTGCTGGGTATCGTACCCTGTGTTTCCGTACTTATTCGCTCGTGCCGATTGATGGCCCTGAAGTCCTGGAATGGCCCTGGGAGATCACAACCCATGGATAACCTCACGGACTCCCCATTTCCTCCATAGCCCGTCCCCAAACATCCGGCATCTTCACTTGTTCAGCACCGCGCCCATGGAAGTCGCGACCCTCTCCTGGGGCCTGCGTGTCCTCCTGGGTCGTTCTTGACTCCCCAGGAGGCCGAACACTGCGAACACACCACACACACACACCACACGCAAATCTGTCTTGTTGAGGGGCAACGTTCGAGGGGGGGGGGGGGGCATATCAGGGTGGAAGCAGCTGCCTGGAAACGGTGCTGGATCGGCAGTAGGCCACCGCCAGTGCATCCGCCGGGCCGTGAGGCGCGGCGCGGCTCGGGGGCGCGCAAACGTGGATCGGGGGAGATGCCCTCTCCCAAATGCGGCCGGTGCCCCGCCTCGTTCGGCGGCGGAAATCCGCGGTTCCCATGGAAATGGGACCCGTCGCTAATCCACGCCCCTTTGATCCATGTTCGCGATCGCCTGACATAGGCCACCGCAAATGAATCCGCAAGGTCTTGGGCGCGGCGCGGTGGATCATCCGGTCCCTGCCAGCGATCCGTGGGCCGAGGAGGAGAACGGAGGAGGAGAAGGAGGAGGAGGAGGAGGAGGAGGAGGAGGACGGAGGAGGAGAAGGAGAGGAGGAGGAGGAGGAGGAGGAGGAGGAGGAGGAGGAGAGGAGGAGGAGGAGGAGGGAGGAGGAGGGAAGAGGAGGAAAAACGCCTCCTGTCGGCGATCACAGGCGACCGGGGGCCGATGCGGCCCCCCACTGCGCCGGGCGTGGCCTCGCTCAGCGCCACGGCGGCCGTGCGGGGCCCTCGGGGCAGCCCGGGAGCGCTCGGCGAGGCGGAGCCGCTGCGGGCGGCGCGCCGAGGGGGGCAGGGTCAGGTCGGGCCCGTCCCCCGGCAGGGGGATTTTGGACAAAACATTAAAAAACAAAAACTAAGAAGTAGGCAAACAGTAACAAGTAAAATGAACATAAAAACTAGGCAACAAGTAACAAGTAACATAACAAGTAAAATAACAATAAAAAAGTTTGATTTTGCACGACAAATAAAAAGTAGACAACAAATACCTCCCAAATATGCAAAAGTGGTCAAAAAATCGTCCCCTGACTATTTTTTGACTATTCTTGGATATTCCCCCTGTAGAGGGACAGGCCCGACTTACGGGCGGGGGGGGAACGGGGGAAGGCTTCGTAGCAGGGGGCTGCTTCTCAGAAGGCGCCCGCCTTACACCCACAGGCAAAGCCCGCGCCTTGCCAGAAGCAGGGCTGCTTCTAGGAAGCCTCCCCCCCTCCTCCTCCCCCCCTGGAGCAGGCTCCAGCGGGCCAAGGTGTGGCATCCCGCGGGGGATGATTGGAGCGTGGAGGATTGGAGAACGGAGGATGGAGGAGGAGGAGGCGGAGGAGGAGGAGGAGGAGGAGCAGGAGGAGGAGGAGGAGGAGGAGGAGGAGGAGCAGGAGGAGGAGGAGGAGGAGGAGGAGGAGGAGGAGGAGGACCCTTCTAAGAAGCAGGCGTGGCTGACCACTGGAAGGCATCCAAAGGCTGGGGCGCCGCCCAGAGCAGACTTCAGCCCCCAAAACCTCGAACCTGGCGTTTCGCCGCCTTATAGCTAGAGGCATCCTATAGGTGGGGTCCGAGCAGATGGGGTCGGAGGATCGCGCCGCATCGCCGATGCATCGCCGATGCACTGGCGACGTCGGCGTGGATAAACCTGGGCTCCACATCGAGCCGCATCGCCGATGCATCGGCGATCCGGCGAGATCCTCGGACCCCATCTGGCCGGGCCCCACCTGGGAGGCCTATAGGCAAGGTGGGGTCCCCACCAGGGGGTCCACCAACCCCTGGTGGAGATCGTGCATTCTTATTGTCCGGCGACGGCCCAGGTACAGGGGCGAGCGGGAGAAGTGCTGGCCGCGAATCTTGCCTTGTCGCTCCGGGCAGCCCCGGAGGCCTGGACTGGCCTTGGGTCGGGCATGTCCTTCCACAGGCGGCTTTGGAAGAGCAGTAAAACATGCTCAAACGGTGCACCAAACCAGTCAAGCAATATGTCTTCGGAACATCGCCCCCAGACTTGTGTTTTCTAACTCTCCTCGAGCACTCCTCCTGCAGAGGGACACGCCCGACTTCAGAGCAGCGCCGCCCCCGACGACCCTCCGTGGCCCCTGCGGCGCTCGGGCCTTCTGCCGAGCGGGGCGGCGGCGACGGCCGCGCGGCCGCGGCGCCCGGCGCGCCGCTCGCGCGCAGGGCTCCTTCGGGGGGCGGCCGGCGGGGAGGAGGAGGAGGAGGAGGAGGAGGAGGAGGAGGAGGAGGAGGAGGAGGAGGAGGAGGAGGAGGAGGAGGGAGGGAGGAGGAGGGAGGGAGGAGGAGGAGGAGGAGGAGGAGGAGGAGGAGGAGGAGGAGGAGGAGGAGGAGGGAGGAGGAAGGAGGAGGAGGAGGAGGAGGGGAGGAGGAGGAGGAGGAGGAGGGAGGGGGAGGAGGGAGGAGGGAGGAGGGAGGAGGAGGGAGGAGGGAGGGGCGCGCCCGCCTCGAGGCGCCCGCGGGCCCGGGCCTCCAGCGCTCGAGGAGCTCCGGAGGTGCACGGCGGGGGCACTGTGAGCGACCGTGTGGAGAGGCTCCTGGCCCGCGTGCGGACGTCCATTCCCTCTGCGTTTTTGTCGGTATCGTGCGCGGTTCTCTCGCAGGATGATCCAGGATGCTCCTCAAAACTCCCCGCCGAGATAACGTGCACAAACTCCGAGCGATACCAAAGGTGCACCTCTCTGGGGAAACCAAAAGGTACCCTGATGGTCCGCTACCGAAAATTTCCGGTAGCGCTCCGCAGAGATCGGTCGCTACCGAAATACCGAAATGTAGCGCAAAATACCGGTATCAGACCGTTCTGAAATCCGCTATTTCAACGCCCTCAAACGAAGATCCGGTCGCTACCGAAATATTCGGGGTGCGTCGAAATCGCTACCGAAAATTTCCGGTACCAGACCATCTGGGTACCGAGACCGCTACTCCCCGGACCTCTCCCGGGGTGCGTTCTGACCGGGCTTTCGGGGCACATCCAGCGGTGACAACGATAGAGCCTCCGAGAGGAAGCCGACGAAAGGGGAGAGAACGGGCGAAGGGTAACGCTGTCTTGGTACCGCTTCCTCCTCTGACTTTCGTCCCCCCCCCCCCCCCCCCCGCGCGTCTCCCTCCCTCCTCCTCCTCCCTCCTCCCTCCTCCCTCCCTCCCCCCTCTTCCCTCCCCCCTCTTCCCTCCCCCCTCTTCCCTCCCCCCTCTTCCCTCCCCCCTCCCCCCTCCCCCCTTCCTCCTCCCCCCTTCCTCCTCCCTCCTCCCTTCTCCCTCCTCCGCCCCGCCCAGTGCGCCACGCCCGAGAGCCCGGCACACGGGCCTCGCCGCCCCCCGCGCCAGCAAGCTCGTCCGCCGCCGCACTCCCTGGGATCCTCCAGGGCGAGAGGCAGCCCTGCGCAGCCTGGGCAGCAGTGAGACGATAGCGCAGGCATGCGATGTCCGATTTTGCTCCATGCGCGGTCCCCGGAATACGAGGCTTGAGCCAAAGTGGCTACGGCCGGGTTTGCTGTGGTTCGTGTCTTCCCCCTCCACGTTCACCGGGGGGCTGTTTTGGGGCTCCGTGGGGCGTCAACCCATGTGCAGGCCGTCTTGGAGCCTCTTGGACGCATGTGAGGGGCTGTATTCGGGATGTTTAGGAACTCATTGGGGCCGTCTTGGGAGTCTCGTGAAACTGTTGTCGGACCTGTTTTTGCACAGTGTTGGGACCTTCTTGGGCCATGCCCTGCCTTTTAGGGTCACTTGGAGTCTCTGGGGAAAATGACGGGGGGGCTAGATTCAAAATACGTTGGAACTGTTTGGGGACCTTTGTGGAAGTCCTCTGGCTAGTTCGTTCACCGTTTGGAGGGCCTCTTAATTTTTTCTGGTCGGGCGAACGACGTAGGCATCCTGTAGCCGAGTCTGTTGAGGCTGTGTCGCGCGTCTTGCGATGTTAAAAAGAAGCCTGGCTGGGGAAAGCGGCACAACCTTCGGACTTGCAGAAACGAATTCTCAGACAGCCGTCCTCCACGATGGCTACACTAAGCGCCATCATCGTCCTCCTCCTCTTGCTCCTTCTTCTTCTGGATCTCCACGTGGGCCCACTGCACCCACTCCGTGAACCTCTGCTGTTCCTTCTTGGCCTTCTCGAGTTTCTTGGCCGCCTCTGGGGAAGTCAAAAGGTACCGATACGGCCACTCCCCGGACCTCTTCCCGGGTGCGTTCTGACCAGGATCTCGAAGCGGATCCAGCGGCGGCGACGAGGGCCTCCCAGGAGGGCGAAAAAGATGGAAACGAGGAAAGGGTACACGTCGTTCATTTCTAATCGCGCTCGTTTCTAATTGTGCTCGTTTCTGATCGTTCCTGGCCCCCTGGTGGCCAGGAAGAGGCCCAGGATAGAACAATTAGAAATGAACGGATCCTGGCCCCCCCAAAAATCAAAGACTTTTCGAATAATTAGAAATGAGCCATGGGTAGCTCGCCATCGCTCGGACGTCCATTCCCTGTGCTTTCTTCGGTTTCGTGCGTGGCGTTCTCGCCACATGATCCAGGATGCTCCTCGATGGTCCTCGCCGAAGGAAAAAAGCACACACGTCCGAGCGATGCCAAGGTAGAGGTGTGGGTACCTTTTCCTCCTCTGAGCCTGCTGCTGCTCCTCCATCTTCTGGAGGATTGGGCACTTGGGCTCCTTCGCCGCCGCGGCCCCCCGAGCCTTGCGCTCGTGCGGGGGCTGCGCCGCGCGGTCGCCGGACCCCTCCTCTGGCTCACCGGCGCCAGCCTTCTGATTCTGACTCTCGACCATCGAAGAAGCACACATGCCATGAGCATAAACTTTTGGCGCTCCGCGCGGGCTTCTCTTGGATCCGCGCTGGCCCCCACCCCGGCGGCGCCTCCGGCGCCGCCCCCGGCGCGCTCCGCAAGCCAGGGAGGGGGTCCGGCGCAGATCCAAGGAATCCGCGCGGAGCGCCAAAAGCCTATGTATACGGCGTTTTTTCTACTTCGAAATCAATTTCCTGATGTGTTCGTTGGGGTCCTTCACCTGGGGCTTGACCTCCTTAGCAGGCGTTGCGGTCGATGAGGTGATGAAGTCCTTGAGTCGTGACAGCTCCTTTGCCGCATGGCTCTCCTTCGGGGTAGTCAACTGCTTGATCTGGGCGGTCAGGTCGTTCACGTTGCCGCTGCAGCATTCATGCGAGCAATACCAGCTCCCACTGCTCTCATGAAGACCCTGCTTCCCGCAGCGGACGCACGGGTTCTCGATCTTCGGGGCCTCCTTCGGCTTAGGCTCATACTTTCTGGCGCACTCCTTGCGGTGCGCCTTCCAGTGAGCCTGCTGACAACCCTTGGAGCAGTACGACACATCGCGGCATAGAGAACAGACTTTCGAGCAAGTTGGCTCGCTGCAATAGGCGCAACCTTGCTTGGGCGGCGCTTCCTCGACCTCCTCAATCTGCACCATGGCAGCCCCGCCGAGTCTGGTGCCGGCACCTGGGCAGAGCTTGGTCGAGCTGGCTCGAGTCGCAACGGCTTGAGCGCGGATGGCTCGAGGCCTGAGCCAAAATGGCTGCGGAACCGTCCTGGGGGCCTCTTGGGGCAGTCTCGGGGGTCTCTCGGCCTGGCTTGGGGCCCTCAGGGCCGTCTGGGAGGCCCCTTGGGGCAGCCTTAGGGGAGGTCTCCTCAGGCCGTCTCGGGAGCCTTGGAAGCCACCTGGGGACCCTCCAGTGACTACCTACCAAACCACCCCAACCCAACCCGAAGACCCGAATGTGACCCGAATTCCGGGTGGGGGGGGGGGGTACGGGCTCCATGTGCTCTTTCAACGTTCCCCGGCCCCCCCCCCAACTGGAAATGGAAGGCAAATTGAGGCCTTCGGGTTGGGTTGGGGTGGTTTGGCGGGTGGTGAAAGACGGCCCCCGAGGCCCCCAAGGACGGCCCCCGAGGCCCCCAAGGAGGAGGAGGAGGAGGAGGAGGAGGAGGAGGAGGATTAGGAGGAGGAGGAGGAGGAGGAGGAGGAGAAGGGGGAGGCGGAGGAAGAGGGGGAGGAGGAGGAGGAGGAGGAGGAGGAGGAGGAGGAGGAGGAGGAGGAGGAGGTGGTGATCCAGGGCCCTCATGGGCTCTTCTGGGGCCAGCCTGGCCCTCCCGGAGGCGCCCGACGGGCTCCTCTGCGCACTCGGGGGGCGCTTCTTGAAGCCACCATGGCGCGGACAGACCGAGGGACTCTCCGGCAGCTGCCACCAGCTGGAAGGATCCCGGGATTCGGGATCGAGTTGGGGACTCTGGGACTCCTCTTGGATCTCAGCTGCGGGCTGAATATTGGGGCCGCAGGCTCTCGGAGGCGCCGTTCGGGGTCTGGGCTGATTTTCAGACGTGGGGGGGGGGATCTCTAAGCAGCTGCGAGGCCACCTGAGGACAGTTGAATTGGTCCTCCCGTCAGCGAACGCCTCCTCTTCCTTCTCGCTCTGTATCCGCCCACGCGCATATGTTTCCTTGTAGACTCTTAACCACAACGTATATACATATATATATATAGAAATATATATATATATATATATATATATATATAGATATCTCTATGTGTGTGTGCGTATGTCTGTCTATGTGTGAGCGTGTGTGTGTGTGTGTGAATGTGTATGTGTGCGTGTCCTTCTCCTATTCCTCAGATTTCTCAGATTTCTCCTCCTGCTCGCCCGTCCCCACCCCACCCCACCTCTTCCTCCTGACCCTCCTCTTCCCCGCTCATCCTTCGGAGGAGATCGGAATGCCCTCGGAGGCCTTTGGACAGCCCTCTAGACCTTCAGAGCGTCTGTGGACAGCTCCTCCACAGGAGGCCTCATGGAGTCTCCGGGAGTCATCCCGAAAACTCCCATGGCGCGTCGTCAACGTCGTCGCCGCCGTCGCCGCCGCCAACGTCGTCGCTGTCGCCGTTGCCCTCTCCGTTGCCGTCGCTGTCGCCGTCGCAATCGCCGTTGCCGCCGCCGCCGCGGCCGCCGCCGCCGCCGCGGCCACCGCCGTCGTCGTCGTCGTCGTCGTCGTCGTCGTCGTCGTCGTCGTCGTCGTCCTCCTAGTCGTCGGTCTCGTCGTCGCCGGCGACGACGACGTCGTTTGCATTCTCCTCTTCCTCCACCTCCACTTCCACATTCTCCATCTATCCTCCTTATACATTACTCCTCCCTGTCGCACCCCGAAATTGGT